AAATGGAAAGGCCTCATGATCATAATTGTAAGTGAAAGATTCAAACTATAATATAATTCCACTTATATTAATTTTAAAAATAGGCTGTATTAGTCTGTTCTCATTCTGCTAATAAAGACATACCTGAGACTGGGTAATTTATGAAGAAAAAGAGGTTTAATGGACCCACAGTTCCACATGGCTGGGGAGGCCTCACAATTATGGCTGAAGGCGAAGGAGGAGCAAAGGCACATCTTATATGGTAGCAGACAAGAGAGTGTGTGTAGGAGAACTGACCTGTATAAAACCATCAGATCTCGTGAGACTTATTCACTATCATGAGAACAGCATGGGAAAGACCCACCCCCCCATGATTCAGTTACCTCCCACCAGGTCTTTTCCACGACACATGGGGATTATGGGAGCTACAGCTCAAGATGAGATTTGGGAGGAGACACAGTCAAACCATATCACAAGCCAAACTAAACTCGCTTTGTTCTGAATGTGTCTATGTGCTAAAGAAATTATTACAAAAACAAGGTGTGGTACAACTAGAGAGAGGGGGGAAGGCATTGTCATCAATAGAGACACAGGGAAGACTCCCAAGGGTACTGGCTGTACTCTCTTGATGTTAGTGGTGGTGATACGAGTATTCACTTTATAGTCAATAATTATAGATAGAGTAATATTAGGCACTTAACTGTGCATGTCCATTTTATGTACTTTTGTACATTTATGTCTTATGTACTTTTCTGTAATTGAATCTGGAAACTACAAAGGTATAATATGTCGATTGCTACTTCTGCTAATATGAACACTATCCATGATGGACTGGTTTGTAAATGTGTGTGCACATGTGTGCTTAGTACTGATTTCAGTGTAAGCATGTTGTAAATCTCATGTAGTGGGGCACTTTGGCTGTAAAACTTTAATATTTGGACTTGTAATGATTACCTAAAAATTTTACTATTTTGAAAGTTTTCTAATATTTTCATTATTTGGCCAAACTTGGGATTTTAAAACATAAACAGACATGGAGTCCCAAAAGACATTCTAGGACACATAATAATTAAAAAGATTTTCTTTGGCCGCCATAAATAGAATTTCTCTTTTACACAAACAAAACTCACACTACGATAGCTTTTTACCTTTTATGAAGAAATCACCACATCTTTTCAAAATAATTTATGGCTATAGAAATAATGTGTACTCCTTACTGAAAATCGGGATCTTTCATTTTTCTTTTTGCTTTTAGATATGGAATAAATATTTGGCACCTCTGTTATAAAGCAACATTATTCCATCTCCCTTGAGATGCACTGCATGAAAAAATGCAAAGAACATTGTGCAGATGATAGATAGTGACTGTATTGTGTGGCTGTTTTCCTTTTAAAAGAGAGCCACGTAATATCTTTCATAGATCCCTATATTCCACTTAATTTTTTACCTAAATTATATATATTTACACATGGAAATAATAGTGGTTAAGATCATGGACTTTGGAGTTAGATGGTTCCAGATGCAGCACTGGCATTCAGCAGGCAGCCAGCCTCTCTCTGAGTGTCAGTTTCACCTTTGAGAGGGTCAGTTTCACCTTGGCAGTGGGAAGGGGCCGGGAAATGGGTTTGCTAATGTGCTCCAAGTATTTGCAGAATTGGATGAATAAGGTAGTAAAGCACAGTGCCTGGACATAGTGAGGACTCTAGGATTGTTAGCTACTTTGATGATCCCTCTCCCTCTCTCTCCTTCCTCCTCCTCTTCTCCCCCTCACTCCCTCCCTCCCTTTTGATGAAAGGAGGGCTGTCCATTCATTTGTTCAGTGTTTTAAATTAAAAATGAGCTGTCAGTTAAAATGGACAGGATTAAGCTCTCAGATAAAGTGAGATGGTTATATTCATAGGGCTTGTCTCAAACACCTAAGGTAAGGGCAAGGTGCACCAGGAAGGGTCACCTGGATAAGAAGAAGTGCCGTCTTTCACTGAGAGGGATACAGGCTTATCTACCTGGGGGAGGACACTATGGCATGTTGTTTCACGGAGACCCTATTTTCCAGCAGAACGAGGAGGCCACCCTGAAGCAGCACCTGGGTGAGCTCTCCCACCAATGCCAACATCCCTGGTGGTCTTCCTGTGCCACTGCAGCAGGCAGGTGGCCTTTGGCGCAGCAGACCATGAGGCAGGATCTGTTTTCTCTTAGCAGCAGTCTATAGAAGAGAAGAATGTGAAGGTCATGCTGGTAGGAGTCACTCTATTTTCAACGAACATGGATAGTCCTGCTAATGAGATTGCTCCCGCGAGGCTTGCTAAGATAGAGATAGCGAGTTCAGACCCTGAGGAGTCGGAGCTGACTTGTCCTGATGTTCACTCTCAGCTGGTAACTCCTGCATATCAGTTCAACTCATAGCATGAACTTCCCTTTAAAGTTCTCATGTTCAGACACATTTCTCACATCTCCAATCAGGATAGATAAAACAGGATTGGAACCCAAAGATGAGCTGAGGCTTAGGAGGCCCTCTGAGCAGAGGAAAAGTCATCATCTTATGCTTCATTATAGATGAAGCGTTTCTGTTTTCCACTGCTTCCTCCAGCTCTGCTGAGAGGGAGAGAAACCTCAGAGCAGTCTCAGGGTTGCTTGTCCCTTTAAAAATCTTCTTTGGAGAAAGTGGATGGAGAAATCTCAAGCAGTTGGTAGATGCCAGGAGGTCAGTTCTCATCAAGAATGCCCCAAAGCCCAGTCCTCATTAAACAGCTTATAGAGTACTATGGAAGAATTTTAAGCACAAGATGTTGTTTCTGAGCCAGTAATTCTCTTTCCACTCAACACTGAAAGCCCATTGCTTGCTTTCCTGGTCCATGAAGACAGCCAAATAGTGTCAATAATTTTTCCTCCTAGTTTTTCCGAAGCCAAGTGGAGGGCACAGGGAACTTTGCAACACTTGTTGCATCTGTGAGAAAGGGGGCCCTGGGTCATTGGTTGGTGATTATGCTCACTCAGGGTTCCAGAGAATTCTGTAGCTCCTGGGAGTCTGATCTTTCCACACATCTCTGGTCCCCAGCATGACTTGTCAAGATACCTATGTGGTTACACGCCCAACCCACCAGCTTCAGGACCCACCAGGCCCCTTGTCAGACCTTGTCCTGCCTCTTCACAGTCCTGAGAACATTCCAAGCTTGTTCTTATTTCTGGGCCTTGGGCTGGGATGCCCCCTCCCCGGCAGGTACTCCACATCCAAAAGCACTTTGTTCCATTGTCCTCGATTATTTTGCTGTAACTTCTCATGCATCCATTTTGGAAGGAGAAAGGGCTTTGGTGTCGGGGTGATCAAAGTTTAAATTGCAGGATGGCCATCTACCTGCTGTGTGACCTCAGGTGGGTCACTGAATGTCTCTGATCCGTAATTTCCTTTTTGTCAAAGAGTGTTAAGAATATCTTCTCCACGGGGCGCATGTGAGGATGAAACAAGAAATGATGGCAAAGACCTCGCACAGGGAAGTACAGTGTCAGGCTCGTGACTACTCTTCTCCCTCCCTCCCTCGTCCTGGTTATTCCTTGAGACCAGGGATTATGACCTAATTCTTCTGTAGCCTCCAGAGTGTGGAGGCTACAGTTGGCACACATGAATTCTTTCTGCTGGGGAGAACATATTTATGTGCAGAAAAAGGAAGGACACATAGGGGTTATTCTATCATTCAATAACATTTTTCTGTCCTATCTCAAAATATAATTTTGGTTAATCTTGCCCTCTGGAGAACAGCATTATAAAGCCTGTTTAGATCGATTTATGACAGTCGGATATTTCATTTGTTTTGTGGTTCAGTGGGTAGACAAGCAGGGCCACTTCTTGTATTCCCAGCCGCTCCTGGGTGTTGGTTCTTTCTTCTGGGTTTTCAATCTGTTGAGCGTCCAGTCATCTTTCCCAGTGAAGCATCTTTCTCGTCTGGGGTTTAGGCTTGAGGGTAACATGCTCATCCTCTTGAGAAGCTGGCTTCAGGGCTTTGACACCGATGCTGCCTGGGTTGCAGCTGCTTTTGCAAGCAGTATCAGTTCCTTCCAAGTCCCTGAAGGCACCACATTGCTCCGCAATCCTTACCTTTGTTCTACCTTCATCCTTGGCGCCCACCTGCTGACAAGACAAGTCGCTTCCTTGATACAGCCTTTGAGACATGGGCCCTTTCCCCACTGATCACACGAACTTACTCCCTTTCTGAACCCCTCCATTTTTTTTAACCTGCACAGATATTCCTGTAATCCCTCTAATACTTGCTTATGCCTGCTGGTCTCTGTTTCCCCTGAGTATATTAGAAATGTGACTAGCTGGAACATGCTACAGGGTCCGATTCCTGAATCCCAGTGCCTGGTTCATTTTCACGACAACGTGGTGGCATATAGCGGATCTGTGACAACCCTGTGGCTGCTTCACTCTGGGGCACTGTCACACTCAGATAGAAACTGACCGTCATCCACCCTTCAGCTGCTGAGACAGGCAGAAAATCCTCTTTGCTGACTTTAAGTTGCAGACTAGATGGGTAGATGACGTTAGTCGTAGATGCAGGACTCCTGCTACGTGCCAAGCACTGTGCCAGGAATTTACACAGACATTGTCTCATTTCCTCATCCACCAAGGGAGGGATGATGAAACCTTCCACACAGGTGTCTCCTTAGGACCCAAGGAAATAATATGTATTATAGTGTGTTACATGTGACAATTGGAGTAGATCGTTGTTTAAATATTTCACGAAAAAGTATGTATTCATAGAACATCTAGTGTGATCCAAGACCTGTGATAAATCTACCTGAGTTCAAACGTATTTGTTGTAATTAAAACAGGCAAATCAAAACAGATACATTTCATGCTTGTTTAAAGAAAATGCTGCAAACAAAAAATTAAAACAAGCACTTAGCAAGACATCAGGCACAGGGACCATATGAAAAGTGTTAAAATGCCTCAGCATTGTGCCCAGTTTGACGCTGGCACTGTTGCCTGGCGACCAGGTAACCCTCTCTGTTTTCCGCTTTCCCAGGTATGCGCCAGGGGAACGACCATGGCACTCAGTACCGCTCGGCCATCTACCCGACTTCCGCCAAGCAAATGGAGGCGGCCCTGAGCTCCAAAGAGGACTACCAAAAGGTAGGGGTTGCTGGGCTCCTGGCCCCTGGCTTGGGCTGCCATGACTAGGGCCAGGTTCTGATTTTAGAGGGGAGTCTGCTGCTTTTCAACTGGAATTGTGTTTTATTTGTGCATCTCTTAGAAATTTATGTCAGCCTCTAGGAGTGGAGCCATTGTGTCCAATACATGTGCTAAATGAGGTTTAAAGAGTAGGCCTGGGCCAGAGCCAGTGGCTTATGCCTGTAATCCCAGTACTTTGGGAGGCCAAAGCAGAAGGATGCTTGAGGCCAGGAGTTCGAGACCAGCCTGGGCAACACAAAGAAACCCCATCAATACAAAAAAATACAAAAATAACCCAGGCATGGTGGCCTGCACCTATAGTCCCAGCTACCTGGGAGGCTGAGGTGGGAGGATCATTTGAGCCTGGGAGGTCAAGGCTGCAGTGACCTCTGATTGCACCACTGCACTTCAGCGTGGGTGACAGAGCAAGACCCTGTCTCAATGTAAAAAAATAAAGAATAGGCCCTTATGTGTTTGTCTTTAGAATCACTCATCTAGATGAAGATATAGCCTGTTAAAATAAGTCTTTTTCCTTCTCTCTTTGTTTCTGTCTCTGTCTGAAATTCCCTCTTTTTTTCTTCCCTCTGTATTAGTTTTACAGGGCTATTGTAACAAACAATCACAGCTTGGTTGGTTTAAACAGCAGATATTTATTTTCTCACAGTTCTGGAGGCTGGAAGTCCAAGATCAAAGTGTCGGCAGGGCTGGTTGCTTCTGAGTGCTGTGAGGGAAGGATCTGTTCCAGGCCTCTCTCATTGGCTTCTAGATGGCTGTCTTCTCCATGTTTATATTCACATCACCCTAGTTTTATGTGTGTGTGTGTTTCTGTGTCCAAACTTCTTATTTTTACACAGTCTCTAGTCATATTGGCTTAGTGCTAACCCTCATGACCTCATTTAACTTAATTACCTCTGTAAAGACCCAGTTTCCAAGGAAGGTCACAATCCGAGGTTTTAGGACTCCAGCTTATCTTTTGGAGGGAGACACGATTCAACCCGTAACGCTTTCTCTCTCTGTCATAACAGTAAATTGAATTACAATAAAAGTAGTTCTGAGAAATATACACGTGATATCACAAAACAATTATTTTCATGATTGTATACCATTTTTAAAAATCCTTCAATAGAGATTTAGTTGTTTTAAAAACAACTTGAGTTGCTTTAGTTTTTAGAACTTTGTGATAGTACTTAGATTTTATTTATCATTATATTTTCTGATGTGGATTTGCATTTGACAGTAGAGCTAGAAGCTACTATAAAGCTAATCTATGTTAGAATTATGTAAAAAGTCAGGTACGCAACAGCCCCCAGGAATGAGTGGGCTATCCCCTTATCCTGCATGGTGACAGAGAGATTGCAGAGACGAGGAGGCTGTAACTAGAGTGTCCACTGATGAGCAAGCAGTAGGATGGGTGACTCATAGTCAGTTCGACTGTGATGAGCAGAGTCTGTCAAAGGCCTGAGAGAGGTGCTGAAAGAGCCCATTCCTTCCTCAGCCCCTCCCACCTCCCTCCCAAGCTGTGATGTCTGCTTGGCTGGTCATGGTAGGCAGCCTGTGGGATGGCCCCCAGTGCTCTCTGCCCATGTATAATTCATCTCCTTGAATATGGGCTGCATTTAGCAACTCAATTCTAATGAATGACAGCAGTGATGGGAGTGATGGGAGCACTCTGAGACTAGGTCATTAAAAGATTGTGGCTCCTATTGTGAAAGCTCTCTCTTACTGTCTGAGAGATGGTAGGCAAAGCCAGCTTCCATGTCATGAAGCAGCCCTGTGCAAAGGCTTACGTGACAAGGACAAAAGGCTGCCAAGAACCACATGAGTGAGCTTTGAAGACCCTCAACCCCAGTCGAGCCTTCAGATGAGACTGCAACTCTGCCTGACAGTTTGATTACAGCCTCATAAAGGACCTCGAGCCAAAAGCACCCAGCCAAGCTGTGCCACAGAAGCTGTGAGATAATAAATGTATGTATTTTGAAAGTGCTAAGTTTTAGAGTAATTTAAGTATACTTATATTTCCATTCTAAAACCCTTTTACCTCTATATTCTTTCTCTTATCCCTTTTTCATAATGGCTTTTCTAACAGTGGTGGGCTAACCTGGGCATTTATGGTGGTGGTTACACATGTAGGCTCTACCATCAAATTTTCTCAATTCACATGTCATCTGTGCAATTTATTATCAAGTACCTGCCACTTAGAAAGCCATATGTTCTATTTGACTCAAGCAGACCTATGATGATAAGGGAGACCCCATTATCCCCATTTTCCAGATTCTCAAAGACAGACAGCAATGACCTTAGAATAAATGAAGTTAAAGAGAAGTAAGACTGGATGCAAGGAGCTGAGTTGGGCAGCTGTTATAGGATTCCAGGCCAGAAATGGTGGAAGCTTTGTCTAGGATGGTGGAAGTATGGGTGGGAGGGAGGGATATTTAGGAAGTAGAAAGACTAGAACTTGGAAATTCACTGGAAGTGGGGAGTCAATAAGAGGGACAGGTCCAGGTCCAGGTCGTGGCTGGTGATTTTCTGTACAAAAAGCAGAGGCAGATTTGTGGGGAAGGTAAGGTAGGTTGTGAAGGTGCAGAGTTTAAGATACCCAAGACATGGGCATCCAAGGGACTGTTGGGAGGAGCCATGGGCTGTTTCTGCCTTGCAGGGAAGATTGTTAGAACTGCTGACTGGGCAAATGCATGTGAAATACAGGGCCTAGCACACAGTAAATACCTCATAAACAGGAACCCTTATTATTACTGGGAGTTACCAACTTATATTTGGTAAATGAAACCCCAGTTGCTGATAAGATCACTTGGGAAAAGTAATGAGATAAAAGCAGAAGAGGCAGGGCGCAGTGACTCACGCCTGTAGTCCCAGCACTTTGGGAGGCTGAAGCGGGCAGATCATGAGGTCAGGAGTTCGAGACCAGCCTGACTAACATGGTGAAACCTCGTCTCTACTAAAAATACAAAAATTAGCCAGGCATGGTGACATGCACCTGTAATCCCAGCTACTCAGGAGGCTGAGGCAGGATAAACTGTTGAACCCAGGAAGCAGAGGTTGCAGTGAGCCAAGATTGCACCTGGGCAACAGAGCGAGACTCCATCTCAAAAAAAAAAAAAAAAAGCAGAAGAGAGGGCTTAGTACTCGAGGAACTAATTCCTCCACTTGAGTGGCAGGAGGGGAAATGTCCGACCAGGCAGGACACTACACTGGGCACCACAGGAACCAACCCCAACCAAGAACTTAAAAAGTGGTTCAATTGTCTCATCCCACTGTATTTAGTTATAAAAGCGGTGTTTATAAAGTACTAAAAGTCACATATGATAATGCCATCTATAAATTGCCTAACGTAATGATTCGTAGTCCTCTAGGATACCAACAGTAATACCAAGAGACTCTGGAAGCATATTAACTGCCCTCTAGAATACTGGAAATCCGATGATATCCTGGTGTTTGCAATGAAGATTTTCAGTTCAAGGCCAGTGCCTTCCATGTGATGGTGAAGAGGCTTAACACCGAATTTTCCAGTTTCTATCCCAGTATAGTTTCTACCCTCCGTTTTGAAGGGAACCCAAGTTGATTTTAGATAAGTGATATCCATAGGAGGTAAAATTTAGGTATTATATAATTAATTAATGAGCTTCTATAATCATCCTTTCATTATTTTTGTAGTTTTTGGAAAGGTTAATCTCGTAGGCAGTTGTGTTGACCAGCTATTTTCTGGGTGTTCTGAACCTAAGCATATGGGAATTAAATACCTGTGTGTGTGTGTGTGTGTGTGTGTGTCTGTGTGTCTGTATGTCTGCGTGTCTGCTTGGCTTTTAAAAGTAGGGTCTATTTTTTAAATAAAAATTGGGGACTCCTGTGCCTTTAGCATCCGGATAGCCATTGCTGCTCAAATTACTGCATATAAACTGCTTAATCACCAACTCAGGGGACAAATGCTGTCACATCTCTCTTATGGTTCTGCATAAATAAAATTGACCCTAGATTCCACAGGGAGATGAGTTGAAAGTTCAGTGTTTTCATACCAGCTAATTGACTAAAACCCAGAGTGGTGACTAGACCAGTGCTTCCTTCCAATACCACTCTCCTTTCCACCACGATGCTCTGGTCTCTTTTACACTGTCCAGTGGAGGGCCTCTGGCCACATGTGGCTGTTGAGCACTTGAAGTAGTGACTCACTGGCTCAGTTCTTCAGTGGCTAGTGCGACTGAGGAACTGAATCTTTTAATTAATTTAAATTTATATTTAAATGACCACATGTGGCTGGTGGCTACCATGTTAGAGAGCATAGCAGTTCATTAAGGGGTGAGCCTGTGCATGTGTGCATGCATGCCCATGTGCATTGTAGAGGGGTAGGACACGTCAGTCTGGATCCCTGGCCCTCTACTCTCACTATGGCTTATCTCAAGAGCACGGGACGGCCATGGAACATGGAATGGCCATGGAACATGGGCCCTCCTGCCCATCAGAGTGCTGCAGTGGGAACTGCTGTCACTTTTTCCTGCCTGGAGACCACAACGTGAGGGTCAAGTTGTTTTCCTTTTGAGGAACCAAAGTGTCTCTTTGTGTACCCCATCCTGGTGAGCACTAGGGCTAACTGGACACCCGTGCCCAGGTGACCACTATGATTTTTAGTTTAGCTTAGCTTAGCCTGGGTCCCCCAGAAAGCAGAGCCCAAGCCAGAGGCTTGTGTGTAAGGACTCACTGAGGTGTGTGGTTCCAGGGAGCAGGAGTAAGGGGCAGAGAGACTGGGGAGAAAAGTTATACAAGTTAGCCCCTGCCACTGGTAACTGGTTGTTTGAACCTTATGAAATGACTAGGCATTCGGGGGAAGATAAGGAAGCATGTTTCCATGGAATGCTATCACCCATAGTTTCATTCTGCACTTCTGGGCTGCACGTGTGTGAGCTCAGGGCACTGTGTACCAGGGCAGGAGGCAAGAGACGAGGCACATAGCG